ACACTGCCTATTCAAATGCCTGCTCAAACAACCAGGCCTTCACTTTCCTCCAAAATGCTAACAGGGAGGGGGCCGATCTAATTTCTGTGGGAAGGGCGTTCCACAGCTGAGGGGCCACCACTGAGAAGGCCCTGTCTCTCATCCCCGCCAACCATACTTGTGATGCAGGCGGGACCGAGAGCAGGGCCTCCCCAGACAATCTTAACGTCCTAGCTGGTTCATAGGAGGAGATACGTTCGGACAGGTAAGTTGTGCCAGAACTGTTTAGGGCTTTATAGGCTAAGGCCAGCACTTTGAATTGTGCCCGGTAGCAAACTGGCAGCCAGTGGAGCTGGCACAACAGAGGAGTTGTATGCTCCCTGAGTGCCGCTCCTGTTAGTAACCTGGCTGCCAAGCGTTGGACCATTTTTAAGCTTCCGGACAGTCTTCAAAGGCAACCCCACGTAGAGAGCATTGCAGTAGTCTATACGGGATGTAACCAGAGCATGGACTACCATGTGCCAAGCATCTTCAGAGGTTGTGAGCATCTATGGCAAGCATCCTCAGACCTCACAACCCCTGAGGATGCCTGCCATAGATGCAGGCAAAACATCAAGAGAGAATGCTTCAACAACATGGTCATATAGTCTGAAAAACCTACAACAGCCCAGTGATTCCAGCCATGAAAGCCTTCATCAATATTTATTTATCGTGTCAGAAGTGAATTGAGGATACAGTTATAATGTATTTAAAACCACAAACAAAGTTAAAAAATTGGTATTATGCTAGATTTCCTTTGACCAGAAGCCAGCCACTTGGAGTGCCTCTGGTGTAAGAAGGTCCTCCATTATACATGTAGCAGGCTGCATTGTAGAAGTGGTCTGTGGTTTGCTCTTCTTCGCACTTATATGATTATGAAGTAAAACGGATTAAAATAAACCCAGATTTCCTGTCAGGAATGCTGATGATGGCAGTTATGATGAGGGCAGAAAGAATGTAAAGGTGCCAGAGAACACTGTGGCGAAGTCCGTGGTTGAGAGCGGCCGAGCCACAGAACGCGGGGATGTCGGTTGGAAACCGTTTGAATTCAAAATCTGGAAGGCGGTTGGGGGTGGGGGAGGGGAACTGGCCAACTGCCGCTCCTGGCAGTTTGTAGCAAGTGTTTGGAGGTGAGGGCAGTGGCTGAGAATAAATGGGGGCTGCCATGCGGTTGAAATATTTCCCCTCATGCACATTATAGATCAGGAATGAGCAAACTGGGGCCCTCCAGGTGTTTTGGACTTCAACTCCCACAAGCGGCTGAGGGGGAAAAGGAAAAGGCCTGAGGCTGTTAGTAATTGTGGGAGTTGAATTCCAAAACACCTGGAGGGCCCAAGTTTGCCCATACCTGTTATAGATAAACCGCTCTGTCAATTCTATGACTTCTGCTAATTCTAATTCAGTGGTCCTCAAACTTAAAACTGAGGGCTGGTTCACATTTCCTCAGACTGTGAGGGGGTCAGACCATAATTTGGAAAGAATATGAATGCATTCCTATGCACACTGTGTAGGGGCAAAGAAACCAAAATATTTCCCCCCAAAAAGACAAAAGCCGCCTTTCTAATAGGGAGGGCAAGGATGGACACCACAAAAGTTGAGTCTTTTAAACTGCAAAAAGCTATTTATTGCGTGGCCATAGCAATAACGACAAACAAGCATACGGGGATGCAATCAAAGGGTTTGTCGCAACCCCCAATGGGGCTGCAGAGCTTTTATAGTAAATGGAATATACATTTTCATATATCTTATTTGTAGTGCCATGTAACTCCATGAAAGAACGATACAATATTTCCATTGAACAGCATATTTCATAGGATCATTGAGTTGGAAACCTCATGAACCATCTAGTCCAACCCCCTACCAAGAAGCAGGAAAATTGCATTCAAAGCACCCCCGACAGATGGCCATCCAGCCTCTGTTTAAAAGCTTCCAAAGAAGGAGCCTCCACCACACTCTGGGGCAGAGAGTTCCACTGCTGAACAGCTCTCACAGTCAGGAAGTTCTTCCTAATGTTCAGGTGGATTCTCCTTTCCTGTAGTATGAAGCCATTGTTATGCCTCCTAATCTCCAGGGCAGCAGAAAACAAGCTTGCTCCCTCCTCCCTATGACTTGCTCTCACATATTTAACCCAACACATGCTTACCAGTGTTTCAGTGGGAAGTGTGAGCCTGATTTTGACTGATGAATGAGTCAAGTTAATTAGGATTGTTGTTGTTGTGTGCCTTCAAATCATTTTAGACTTGGGCAACCCTATATTAAAAGGTCAGGATGGCAGACTGGGTAAACGTCCTTCGACCCGCAGGCCTTCATTTGGGGGGCCCTGTTCTAATTCCAGCCGTTATGTACTGTATAATTATTGTAATATGCTTTCCAAGGGCTCAACCACAATTTTTCTTGGATGTTTAGTAGTTTAAGTTTGCCACTGCTTTTACATAAGAAGCTAATAAATGATTTTCAAGTTCTATCAAATAGATCTTCTTTCAATTCTCCTTTTACAAATCTTAATTTATAGGCTATCTTTCCCAATAGAGCTATCACGCATATCCAGTTTAACCAATTCTTTAATGAAAGATTATCTAGCTTTTTCAAGGTTATCACTATTTTGAGTCTTGTGGTGCATATAAGCAATATAAGATTTTTATGTACCAAATCCTTATTCTAACTTTCGAATACAGAAATAATTAGTAGAGCACCACTGAAACATACTTATCCATGATAGCTCTGGAGCCCCTGATGGCGTAGTGGGTTAAACCACTTAGCTGCTGAACTTGCTGACTGAAAGGTAGGCAGTTCGAATCCAAGAAGAAGGATGAGATCCCGCTGTTAGTCCCAGCTTCTGCCAACCTAGCAGTTTGAAAACATGCAGTTGTGGGTAAATCAATAGGTACCTCTCTGGCGGGAAGGTAATGATGTCCCATGCAGTCATGCCAGCCACATGACCTTGGAGGTATCTACGGACAAAGCCGGCTCTTCGGCTTAGAAATGGAGATGAGCACCACTCCCCAGAGTTGGACACAACTAGACTTAATGTCAGGGGAAAACCTTTACCTTTAGCATTTACCTCTTCATCCCAGAATCTCTGTACTTTTAGGCACATATGTCTCCATCCCCTATTTCTCTGCACATTCTACAATATAGTTTAGGGATTTTATTATTAATTCTAGGTAGTTTGAGTGGATAATAGTTCCATTATGCATAATTTTCACAGTATTTTTTTCTCTGAAATACAGCCTATAGCAACTGGTATTCTTCCAGCGTCCCCTTCCTGTGTAAGATCATTCTTAGTACTATGTCGTGGTGAGTGCTCCTTATCTCAGAACACCAAATGAAATCCATGGGTTCAGCACAACTTGTTTATTCGTTCAGTTGCTTCCGACTCTTCATGACTCCATGGACCAGCCAGAGCTCCCTGTCGGCTGTGGCCACTCCCAACTCTTTCAGTCAAGCCAGTTACTTCAAGGATATCATCCATCTTGCCCTTGGTCGGCCCCTCTTCCTTTTTCCTTCCATTTTCCCCAGCATCATTGTCTTCTCTAGGCTTTCCCGTCTTCTCATTATGTGGCCAAAGTATTTCATCTTTGCCTTCCCTCCAATGAGCAGTCGGGCTTTATTTCCTGAAGTGTATGTACTGGTTGGATCTTCTCACAGTCCAAGGCACTCTCAGAACTTTCCTCCAACACCACAGTTCAACAGCATCTATCTTCCTTCGCTCAGTCTTCCTTATGGTCCAGCTCTCACATACGTAGGTTACTACAGGGAATACCATTGCTTTAACTATGTGGATCTTTGTTGCCAGTGTGATGTCTCTACTCATCACTATTTTATCAAGATTGGTCATTGCTCTCCTCCCAAGAAGTAAACGTCTTCTGATTTCCTGGCTGTAGTCTGCATCTGCAGTAATCTATGCTCCTAGAAATACAAAGTCTGTCACTGCCTCCATGTTTTCTCCCTCTATTTGCCAGTTTACAATTTACTGACAGGCAACTTAAAAGAACACATACACCAATGTACAAAACACACATACAATGGATACATTCTCCTAAACAGTGCTGTCCACAATAGACAGTGGACCTTTGGTATTTGCTAGGGGCTGTTTCCAAGACCTGCCATAGATACCAAGATCTTTGGATGCTCAAGTCCCATTTATATGCAGTAGCAGAAAATGGCATCCAATATATCAAATGGCAAAATCAAGGGTTCACCCCCCTCCCAATATTTTCAGGCCATGGGTGGTTGAATCCATGGATACTGAATCAGTAGATACAGAGGGCCAACTGTAAATTGTTACTTGTCAAACACTGAGCAGCTCCAAAGTTGTAGCACTTGTGGAGATTTTATTTACTTGGAAAAAAGCACCAGTTTGTAATACATGAATCATAGAATCATATTTACAGACATACAGATTGAACAAACAGGAAAGCAAACAGTTGACTCTATCAATATAAATTTCATTGCCCCCACATCAGATGTTCAAAGAAGCCTCCCCATATGTTCTTAGCAACCCCAAATGCATGCATGTTTGCCTTCAAGTCATCTGTCATTTTATGCATGTTTGCCTTCAAGTCATCTGTCATTTTACTATTCTAACATACGCACAAAGGCATGTGAATCTGTTTGTAGAGAGGGGGAAAGGTCACCATGAGAAGATTCTGAATTTGATTCCAGGACTCTGTCTACTACATCTCAGTGGCTTCAACAGGATGGAAGGGTGAAGGTTGGTCTTTCACATGGCATCTAGGGAGCATCTGCACCATAGAATTAATACAGTTTGACACCACTTTAACTGCCATGGCTCAATGCCATGGAATCAAGAAAGCTGTAGTTTTACAAAGTATTTAGCCTTCTCTACAAAGAGAGCTGGTGACTCACTAAACAACAAATCCCAAACTTCCATTGCACTGAGCCATGTCAGTTAAAGTGGTGTCAAACAGCATTAACTCTAAAGTGTAGATACACACCTAGAGACATAAATCCATGTTTGAGAACACCTTTGGAAAAAGGTGTGTTGCACTGTTGCTTAGTTCCTTACTTTTCTCTTGGCAGATTCCTCGGACAAATGCCTGAAGATGGCAAGCAAGCAAGGATACAGTTGCCTCTCAGATAGTTCTGTGGATGTCCAAACTTCTAGCTCTGAAGGCACTCTGAGCCTCAGTCCTCATAGCCCGGGCCTGTGTCTCATCTCTCCTCCCATTGCCGAATCCCATTGGCTAAGTAATGCGGCATCGCAGCCTGAGTCCCCATCAGAAGTGAATGTCATTTTGGAGGAACTTCTGGCTCCCATTACTGAAAAGCTCAAGTATTTGCTGAAGAAAGCAGAGGATTTCCAGACATACCTGTTGTACAGGTGACAGCTGGTGGAAATTGGGTTGAGGAAACATATACAGGAAGCATCATGCTTTGGGCCTTCTAGATAGCCACTACTTCAACCCCAAATGCCCCAATCTGCATGGCTAATAGGAAAGGATTATGGGTACTATTGTCTAATACTATTCTTCTTAAGCTAGCTGATATATGGAATGACCAGTTTTTCCCCAGTGTTCTAGGAACTAGCACCATATTTGTGCCCATTTGTTACAATTAGGTTTTTTTTTCTCAGAAGCTATCTGGTCACTGGCCAAAGATCGCTCAGGGTCCATGAAACACTTCTTTGGATAGCATTGTCTAATACATCTGGAGGGCTAAAGGTTCCCTGGATCTGGTCTTGACTGTCCAGACAGTCCATTCAGGATTTACTGAAACGTGTCTGTGGAAATAAGAAAGAGCTCCTGATTGACGAGAGGATGGAAGGAAAGAGGAAGAAATGATAAATGAATGGGTGGGCTGGTTCTCAAGCAATGTTATATCTAAGGTTGCCATGTCTACTGGATTAACTTCCAGAGGTGGATGGCTAGGGAGAGAGAGTAGTGAGGAAAATCAGTCCCACACGTGCATATTGCATACCCCCAGCTGCTTTTGAGCTCATTTGCCTAATGCCCCAGATCCGGAGGAAGTGCAGGAGAGTGCTTCCAACTTCCTTGTGTCTAGCTTAACAAGAAAGATTGCTTAGTCTGAAAATTTGGGAGACATGTAATATCCTTCTTGTGATTCCTCTGACTTTTCTGATAGGCTAGAACAAAATCTGAATCAACCCACTACCCAACTGCTTTATGCACTGTGCAGATTCTAGAAAACAGTTGACTTTCGTGTAGGGTATTTAGAAGCCGCCAAGATTTCCTACATACTGGCCCTGGACTTGCCAAGCAATTTGCAAGAGATAAGAAACTGAACTTGGTCTCCACAGTAATGGGAAGAAGAACAAGTGGGGCGCTCTGAGATGGGGCGGTCTTATGTGGCTGGCTCAGCCTTCTCCAACCTGATGCCCAGCCATGCTGGTTGGAGACATAGGAATGCTAATCTAATCCATCTGAAAGACTCCAGGTTAGCAAGCATAGACTAAGAACTTTTAAACTATTCATTACTTGAAAGGGGAAGTGTCTTAAAGCTCAATTCTCTAGCCATGTGCTGTTTTAATGTGGCACTTATTAATGAGAGTGAAGCAGAAGAGTGTATAATGGCTTATAGTGGGTCTCCTATTTTAGCAGGGACAGAATGCAAAAGGAGCAATTTGCGAAAGCTATGCCTACGTTCCTGCAGATGTGCCAGCCATACTTCCATTACCTGGAATCCACAGCACGCAGCTGCACGCCTTATTTAAGACTCCCACAGGAGCCAGTGAGGAGGCGGGTGAGTCTCCCATTGGAACAGGGATAGCTATGGTAGAATGGGGAAGTACACTTTATCCAACCTGGATTCAAACATAAAGTACATTCTGTGTTCACCTGTGTGGATCTAATCTAAGGAAGAAGAAAAAAATTATAGGGGATGGGAGAAGATGTTGATGAAATCAAACTACATCTTATTTTGGCTCAGGGAAGGGTACTGAAATTAATCCAAAAATTCTGTTTTATCAAGGCTACGCCTTCAGAATCAACATTCTTTCTGTGAATTTCCAAAATGGCACAAACTTTCAGCTCCTTTTTGCTAATATCCCACTCACTCTTGGTCATTCTCTACCTCTTTCACAATTGTAGGATCTTGAAAATATATATATTGTTCTTTTTAAGGTCCTATCATTGTGAAAGAGGTGGAAAAGTTTACACTTAGGACAAACTACCAATATATAACATATTGTTTGTCCATATATAGCTTTTGGAGAGGAAACTCCAAGCTAGCAAACTATTTTGGAATGAAGTAAGGTGCTGCAGCTGAAATTAAACTAACAAAGAAATTACATGGGAAGAATAGTACAATATAAATATATTTCTAGATTCTGTGTTAACATTTGAGCAATTTAATTAGCACAGCATGATCTATGTTAAATGGGAAATGTCAATGCCTCCTTAGACTCAGATAAAGTCCCATAGAAAATAGATATGAAAGCTGCTGAACCAGAGCATGCTTCTTTTTCCTTGGACAAGGAAACGGACAGCAGGAAACTTGTGCAGGTAGTATCTTTCATGTTTAGGGATCTTGAATTAGCAGGCAGTGGAGTATATATGTGTTGCCTTTTAGCACAAAGATGATCCATGAAGACTTTCCAGTTTTGAGGGTTTTTTTTAGGAGTGCTACAACCTCTAATATCCCTAGCTTGTACATCCAATGTGTTGTGTATGTACCTTCAAGTCACCTGTTAACTAATGGCAACTCCATGAATTTTATAGGGTTTTCTTTAGACTATGAATATCCAGAGGTAGTTTTCTGCATTTGTTCTCTGAAATTTAGCCTATAGTGTGTGATATTCGTTGGCAGTCTCTCATCTAAGTAGTAGTCTGCTTAGATTCCAAGATAATAATATTTTATTTATATTTCGCTCTATCTCCCTGAGGGGACTCAGAGGAGATTCCAGCATACACAAACACAAAGGCAAACATTCAATGCCTAGAAGCAATCATAACACAGATAAAGGTAAAGGCTTCTCCTTCCAGCTCTGAATGGTGGTGCTCATCTCCATTTCTAAGTTAAAGAGCCTGCATTGTCCGTAGACACCTCCAAGATCATGTGGCTGGCATGATTGCATGGAGCACCGTTTCCTTCCCACTGAGGCAGCACCTATTGATCTACTCACATTTGCATCTTTTCTCATTGCTAGGTTGGCAGAAGCTGGGGCTAACAGTGGAAGCTCACCCATTCCACAGATTCGAACTGCCAACCTTCCGGTCAGCAAGTTCAGCAGCTCAGCAGTTTAACTCATTCACCACTGCAGATCAGACAGTAGTTGATGCCTTTGGAATATTTAGGTGTGGGTCACCAACAATGGGAATATCTGAACTGCAGGCCAAAACCATATATAATTCTAGGTATAAGAGAGTAGATGATTTGGTAGTGATTAATGGAATCTCAGTTATTTCTTGACCACCTTTGCTGAAGGCACTAACTTTTCAGCCTCCATTCTCAGAAGAAAATCTAACCCAACTTGACATTTCTGCATTTATCCCACAGCTCCTAGAGATCTCTCAGCAATTGGCTTGCCAACTTGAGCAACTGGTTCTGATGTATGCTTCCTTTAGCTTTGTGTCCTTGGAAGACACAGATCCATCCAGGTATATGACAGTTTTCAAGAGTTGAGCTTCATTTATTTCAATGTGCAACAAATAGTTCCCATGCTATGAGGTCAGGAACAAACTAATTCAAAGGTCTGGTGCTTCTTAGTCATTATAATGTATAGGAATAAGAAAACTGCCTCTTCCAAATAAAATAAACAGCAAACATTATACTGTACTATGAAAGACACAAGATCAATCTAAACATGATTAAACTAATAAAATAATTTAATTTTTAAAAGGTATAAAAAGTCAAGAATTTAAAAATATTTTACTTTAAAATTGCTTGATTGCCAACTTCCTCAAGTTAGTTGTGTTTTTGTTTTTATTCATTAGTTTTTGTTTATTCGTTTTTGCATGCACTTTGAAAGTGATAATCTTCAAGCTATGAAACTATATTTCTATCCTATCTTGATATGCATATTCACATGCAATCCTATATTTCCATTTAAATATATATCTTCTAGTGTTTCCTGTTTCTTCTGTGGCAAGTTCTGGTTGAATGAGACGCGACAAGTTTCCATCTTTCGCTATTCCATCTCTGCACCCTACACAGCTGCCCGTGTTCCCCACAATTTATACAAAAAGATGCGCTGGAACATTGACATCCTGGAAAAGTCTGCTGGCCGGAATCAAACACTTAAAACAGAATAGTGAGTTGCCAGACTAATGAAAGATGGATAGAGTGTGAGAAAGGTAGAAAAATTAATGACAGGCAGAGGGAGAACAGTTGAGACCCACTCCCATTTTATAGAACCTTCTTTTCTTAGAAAATTGGAGAAAAATGAAGCACGGGACAGTATGTTCATGTATTCGCTTCCATTCCAGAATTATTTCTAAAAACCAAGTAAAAAACTCTCTGTTGCTACTCCAGCAACAGGCTAACACAGCTCACACTCTGGAGAAGAAGTGTGGTGGTTTTGATTACTCGTCTGCTCCTGGAGCTTTCTTGAGGCTTCTTTCTCATTCTAGCCCTTTGTGACCTTGCCTCTTTTCTTGCAGCTATTTTCTGTGCTTCCGTGACACCGGTGATGAGGCAACAGTGAAGACGCAGAAGCTCTGGTCCATTGGACGCTGGGTGCCTGTAGATCCTGACAGCGAGCATAGTGCTGATGTGCTCTCTTGGTAGGTATGCAAGATGGCAATGCCAATCTCTACAGAGAAGGAAAGCCTTCAGGCTGTCCATGTCTAACATTAACAAAGCAAAACTGCACACTTGAGATCTCTTTGCAGTTAAGGCACAACTATTCTGTTAAGTGAGCCTCTCTTGTCTTAAGAACAGAACAAATGCTTTGCTAGAGTCTACCAAGTCTACCAAGTTTATCACTCCTTAAAAAAATCCCAGTAGCCAGTAGGCAGGAAGCTGGGCAGTGAGCCAATAATGGTTCACTCTTTACCTTCTCTCCTCTCTTGGTATATAAACAGCTAGATCACTGTTTACTGACCGTTGCTATGGTGAAAAGCGTACTCCATGCATATTCATATGATACACAATGTCCATTGAGAGGCATTGTTTTCTTTTGAATGGCCTCAGGCATGCATCTAACCACAGTTGACTGGTTGCTTACAATGTGATATTCCAATAGCCAAATAGAAAAATACTGCCCTTCTGAATGACTGCTGAAGTTGCTCAAAATTTTAGTTGGGCCCTTACTTGACTCTTACACTTTCTGAAAAGTTTGTTGACTGTTCTGATTATCATATTTAAATTTCTTGGTAGCCAGTGCAACGCATCAACATTCCTGATTATTTCCCCAGCAAACCTTCACCCAACTTCAATCTGCATAGAAACCAAACAAGTTCTCAAATGCTGTCAGTTTTTAAACAGTGCCATAGTGATGGGCCTTCAGTGAACCCATAGAGTGTTTTTACTTCCAACTGGCCAAGGTGATATACAGTGGGGAAAAATGGCAATCTGACTGCTAATCTGAACAAATCTGTTATTTGTCTACCTAATGCAAGGAAAAGGTGTTTGTTTGTTTTTTTAAAAAAACTTTTTCCCTAAAAGTTTCTTCAAAGGCCTGCAGGGAGCAATAGCACCATATTTTGCCTCTCTCCTCCCCTGGGTGGTTGCGGGCTGGAGCCAGTGGGGGGGGGGGGGGGGGGGGGGGGAGAGAGAGGCTTTTAGACCTAGGAGAAGTGACACAGTTATGAAAGAAAATGCCTCTTCTTGACTAAAAGCTTTAAATTTATTTATTTATTTATTTATCTTGTAGGAAGCTCTTTATCTCCAAGTTTTCCTTCACCCTGAAATCCAACAGTTGGCCAACTGTGCCCTAGTAACTAGATTTGGGACCCATGAAGCCTAGTCAAATTATTTGTGGCTCTCTCTTTTCTCATCATCAGCTAACTGTTCTTTCACTTTCATGAGAAACACACGCTTATTCAAAACCTATAGTCTAGGCATGGGCAAACTTCAGCCTTCCGGGTGTTTTGGACTTCAATTCCCAGAAATTCCAACCAGCTTCCTGGCTGGTAGAAATTGTGGGAGTTGAAGTCCAAAACACTTGAGAGGCCAAAGTTTGCCCATGCCTGCTATAGTCCCTACTTGCCACAGAAATAGACTGGAATAGGTTGCAGAGCTGGACAATTGTATATGTCCAATAGGAAATGATATTGCCTTCTCCCACAAGGAAAGAGAAATCTGAATACCCAGGAAAGGGTATTGAGATGAATGATAAATAATACCCGCATGACAACAGATAGGAGTGGAGAAGGTTGTTAACTACCCTATGGTCTGTACTGCTGAAAGCAACCACATTTACAATGACCTCATAAGATAGGTCAGTATGTAACTGCCAATTACATTGATGCATGATTGTGGGATTATAGTCTGGTATGGTCTATCAAATTTCATGGCAAAAGAAGGAGTGTTTGAGCATTACTTTATGAAAAAGCACAACAGAAACTTAAGTTAGTCACAGACTGTCTTACCATTGTTAGAGTACAAAAGCTATATCTTCCTTATAGCTAGTTGCTAACAGTAGCAACATTTGTGATCCCGTACATACATATAAGTTTTCCCTTGCTATAAGCATATGACACATTGTTTACTTGGATATAAAAGAAATGGATGTGTCTGTCTTCAGTGGTAAGCATGTTGGTATAACAGATATGCAGTTGGTAGTTGGTTGAAATTTGCAAAACAAGCCAACCTTTGGCATAATTTACAACCAACCCATTTTCTTTTACTTGTATGTCTAAATTATTTGCAGATAGATAGATAGACAGACAGATAGACAGATATATTAACAACAAGCAGACAGGGCACAGCATATGGAAGCTTCTGACTCATCTAGTAAGAGATAATGAGGTGCCCACCTGCTGAGCAGTGTTCAAAGAACGTGCCGTATATACTCATGAATAAGCTGATCTCATGTATAAGTAAAGGGCAGGTTTTGGGCCAAAATTATGGGTTCTAATATGGCCTATGTTGTTGTTCATTCGTTCAGTCGTCTCCGACTCTTCGTGACCTCATGGACCAGCCCACGCCAGAGCTCCCTGTCGGCCGTTACCACCCCCAGCTCCCTCAAGGGCAGTCCAGTCACTTCAAGGATGCCATCCATCCATCTTGCCCTTGGTCGGCCCCTCTTCCTTTTGCCTTCCACTTTCCCCAGCATAATTGTCTTCTCTAGGCTTTCCTGTCTCCTCATGATGTGGCCAAAGTACTTAACTTTGTCTCTAGTATCTTTCCCTCCAATGAGCAGTCGGGCTTTATTTCCTGGAGGATGGACTGGTTGGATCTTCTCGCAGTCCAAGGCACTCTCAGCACTTTCCTCCAACACCACAGTTCAAAAGCATCGATCTTCCTTCGCTCAGCCTTCCCTAAGGTCCAGCTCTCACATCCGTAGGTGACTACAGGGAATACCATGGCTTTGACTAGGCGGATCTTTGTTGTCAGTCTGATGTCTCTACTCTTCACTATTTTATCGAGACTGGACATTGCTCTCCTCCCAAGAAGTAAGCGTCTTCTGATTTCCTGGCTACAGTCTGCATCTGCAGTAATCTTTGCCCCTAGAAATACAAAGTCTGTCACGGCCTCCACGGTTTCTCCTTCTATTTTCCAGTTGTCAATCATTCTTGTTGCCATAATCTTGGTTTTTTTGACGTTTAGCTGCAACCCGGCTTTTGCGCTTTCTTCTTTCAGCTAGATCACTGTTTACTGACCGTTGCTATGGTGAAAAGCGTACTCCATGCATATTCATATGATACACAATGTCCATTGAGAGGCCTATGGGTAAGTTGAATTACATGGAGAGTGGGAAACACTAATGCCATTCCTGACTGCGATCATTTCCCAATATATGCATTTACAAAGACCAGAAGCAGCATCACAGCAGAGAGAGTAGAAGGGATTGGTGCTTTCAGGTTCCCCCAGAATGCACTAAACTCTTGCTCTTTTCTGCTCTGGATTTATACATAAGTATATAGGGCCATTTAACATCATCGGCTTATGTTTTAAAGGTGGAAACGGAATTAGACCTTTGCAATCTTGAAAATAGGTATACCAATGCTTATGTTGTCTTTGGCACCAACAAAGATGTCTAAGAAGAAATTACCTAAAAATCCTAACAGTCAGGCTGATATAGCAACTGGTGCGTTGGTCTGGTACTTGGTTGAAGAGATTCAGGCAAACTTTACCCCTGGGCCATGAAGATCATCTTAGGTGAACTACACTTTTTTAGCCTGGCTTAGCTCACAAGGTTGCTATGAGGACATAGAATCATAGAGTTGGAAGAGACCTCATGGGCCATCCAGTCCAACCCCCTGCCAAGAAGCTGGAAAATTGCATTCAAAGCACCCCCGACAGATGGCTATCCAGCCTCTGTTTAAAAGCTTCCAAAGAAAGAGCCCCCACCACACTCTGGGGCAGAGAGTTCCACTGTTGAACGGCTCTCACAGTTAGGAAGTTCTTCCTAATGTTCAGATGGAATCTCCTTGTAGTTTGAAGCCATTATTCCATGCCCTAGTCTCTAGGGCAGCAGAAAACAAGCTTGCTCCCTTCTCTCTATGACTTCCTCTCACGTATTTATACATGGCTATCATGTCTCCTCTCAGCCTTCTCTTCTTCAGGCTAAACATGCCCAGTTCTTTAAGCCGCTCCTCATAGGGCTTGTTCTCCAGACCCTTGATCATTTTAGTCACCCTCCACTGGACACATTCCAGCTTGTCAATATCTCTCTTTAATTGTGGTGCCCAGAATTGGGCACAATATTCCAGGTGTGGTCTAATCAAAGCAGAATGACTTCCCTGGATCTAGACACTATACTCCTATTGATGCAGGCCAAAATCCCATTGGTCAACATGGGAAAGGGCAAAAGACATGTATGCTGTTGTGAGTTTGTCAAAGGAAATTAAGGATTTGAATCAAATGAAAGAACAGACAAACAACTCTTCACTGGTGATCATAATTTAGTGGCAATTTCATGGATCTTCCAAACTTTTGCAATATGGGGAGTATCTAAAACATATGCCACAAACTGTTCTCCTCTGTTTTGGTGAGTGGGATGTAATTTCCCACATATTTTTAGCATGTGAAAACAAAATGTAGCTGAGACTTGCTGCTTGGTTCAATATTATGACTCACAACCAATGATTGAAAGATGTACATGATGACTGCAATAAAGCATCAAAGAAGCAACCATGAAGATGATAAACCTTCAAACACTGAATGTCATCTGATCCCTGCATAGTTACCTGTCACTGAACGAGAGCTCTTCTATAGTCATGCCGATTGTACATTAAAACAAGGAGAGCGAGTTTTCAGGGAGCCAGAGAAAGGGATATCATGGGAATTGTCAACACTGACTTTCTCTCCTTTCGTTGCACAGGGTCTTGTGTCATCACCCCATGGGAGATTATCAGCAGCTCCTGACCATCGGATTTGAGGAACCTTCCCACACCTTAGCCACAGACCTTTTTGTCCAGATGTTTAATGCTCAGTGTTCAGGGCTGCTTAACCAAGAGTCCTCCTGCTAGATGAGCCAAAGGAACAAGTGCAGGAAAGGGTGGACCACTCATATACGTTAACTGTGCACGACAGTGTCCAACTCCATACTTTATAATATTACCAATACTAAAAGAGTATGCATACTGTGTTAGGTGCTGGCATTAAAGTACAGCAAGATAAGGCTAGAATACACACTTAGAGGTATATTAGTTTAGGATTTGAGCCATTTTGGTTTGATGTGGGACCAAAACAATCTCGGTCCCCCAGCATTCCTGCTCCTTTAGCTCTTGTGTTGGGTTCTTATGCTACAAATTCTTAAAAGGCTTTGGTGGCCACTGCCATAGTTTTTCCAATAACAGGCTCTTGAATGCAGATGGCATGTGAAGACCCTTGTGGTCTCCATTGCATGCTACTGCAGGACAGAAGTGGAAGTGCAATTTTCTTTCTTTCAAGTACAGGTTCCACCGAGAGACACTTTGTGATGGGCCATTGCTGGACACGGGCTAAGTGTCTAGTTTTACCTACTTGGGGTCCATTTCCTTTTGAGGGCACACTCCCTTTTGACCTCTAAACATCTGGCAGTGCCTCAGGACCAATCAAAGTTTCTAAAGGAGTGACATCCCAAAATGTGTTGGATTGTTTTTAAGCAAGCATATAGCATTGTTTCATGAATAAAGGAATATGTTTTGTTTTTACACATTTTCCCATATTGGTGGCTACATTCAGTTTTGGCTTTGAAGAAGGTGCAAAAACTCCGGGAGTGGACAGCCTTTGCATTCATCTCCAGTTTTACTTTGTCATTCACTGACTCACATTTCTATCAAGTGGCACTCAACTAAAATATAACTTTTGAAAAACAAATGCTATCAAAAGCATTAACAATGGGGAAACATCAATAAAAGACCATAAATTTAACAATTCAAGACAAATAATATGAATTCACCTAAATGCTAGACATGCCTACAGTGCCTCCAACAGGACTATAAAGGAAGTCCCTTGCTCATTTCTGGAGAGTAACTACAATAACCTACAGGTGACCATAGATACAGCCTACACCATCTAATACAGCACTACATGCAGTCATGGGAGCTTGAACAGAATCTCTTTAATGCAAATATAGAACCAACATGATATGCTGGATTGGGGTTCACCTACATTGTAGGATTAATGCAGTTTGATATCACATTAACCACCATGACTCAATGCTCTGGAATCCTGGGAGTTGTAATTTGGTGAAGCACCCATACTCTTTGGCAGAGAAGACTATATATCTCCGAAAACTAGCCATGTCAGTTAATATGGTCTCCAACTGCATTAATTTCAGATAGTAGATGCAGCCTAGTAGTAGTAGTAGTAGTAGTAGTAGTAGTAATTGTATTTCTTATTAACATCTCCTCATGGCCTAAGGCAGGTTACAAAACAATTAAAATACATAAGCACAGCAAAACACTACAAATACACACACTAAAACGTACCTCCATAAAAGTTGCACGCCAGAATGTATCTCTACAAAATACACACTAAAACAGACAAAACAGAAATCAAACAAAGAACACTTAAAATTCTTGTTTAAAGATTGTCTGGGTAGGCCTGCCAGAAGAGATAAGTCCTTTACATGGTTTTTAAATTCCAAAAGCTCATTTAGATGTAGGAGTTCTTCTGGTGGGTAGTTCCACAGTCGTGGGGTGGCCAATGAAAAGGTCCTCTGAGTGGTACTTGCCAGTCAGGTTCTGGCTGGTTGAAGCAGACACCCCCCCCCCCCCCCCCCCCCCAAGAAGACTGAAATATATGAGATGGGTTCTATGGGAGAAGGTAACCTGGACCCAAACCACGTAAAGCTTTTAAAAGGTCAAAACTAACACCTTGTACCTTGCCCAGAAACTAATTGGCAGTCAGTGGAGTGACTTTAAGATAGGTGCAATGTACTAGATGTTTCTGTAACCAATCTGGCTGCTGTATTTTGAACCAGCTGGAGATTCTCAACTTTATATAAGGGTAGCCCAATGCAGAAGCCCAACCTTGAGGTTACCAGTGAATGCACTACCATCTTCAGGTCCTCCAAATCAAGGAAGGGCACAGCTGGCATATCAGCTGAAGCTGATAGTAAGCACTCCTGACCATCACACCTACCTGGGCTTACATTTGGAGAGACAGATCCAGGAGTACTCCCAAGCTGCAAGCACAGTCTTTCAGGGGGAGTGTAACCCCATCCAAAATTGGTTGACACACCTCTGGCCCCAAATAAGGATCCTTGATGGCAAGCACATCTGTTTTGTCTGGATTCAGTTTCAATTTGTTCATTCAGCTGTTTTTGAAGGCATGGAGAAATATATTTCCGTGTCATCAGCATACTGACAACACCCTGCCCTATGCTTATGGATTATCTCTTCATGTAAATATTAATCAATAGTACACTGGGAGGCCAGGCTTCTGATTCTCTGGTCAGTCATGGATACCCACTGTATTACCTTAGGTTTTTTTTTAATTTCGTGTCAGGGCAACCGGTCAATTATATTACATTTCTAACAGAACAAAGCAAGCAACCAGACATAATACAAAATTTGTGAGTTTGGTAGTTGATTAAATGCCCTTTGACCAGTATCTGGCCACTTTGAGTGCTTCTGGTGTTGCCGCAAGAAGGTCCTCCATTGTGCATGTGGCAGGGCTCAGGTTGCATTGCAGCAGGTGGTCAGTGGTTTGCTCTTCTATAACAAGTCTACATAGAGACCACCAAACGCAGCATTGCCCAAACACGAATCAAGGAACATGAAAGGCACTGCAAGCTACTTCGACCTAAGGAGTTAGCCATAGCAGAGCACCCAACGAATCAACCTGGACATAGCATATTATTTGAGAACACAGAAATGCTGGACCACTCCAACAACTACCATATCAGGCTACACAGAGAAGCCATTGAAATCCACAGGCATGTGGACAATTTCAACAGAAAGGAAGAAACCATGAAAATGAACAAAATTTGACTATTTAAAAAAGTATTTTAAAAAACCCTCTAAAATTAAAACAGCAAATAAAGAACAACACTCAAACACAGGGGAACTCCAGACAAGAAACCATCACGGACAACTAATCACCCCCAACAAAGGATTTCCTCAGGCAGTAACAAGGCACACCTAAAAACTGTCAGGCCATCAAATACTAATAGAGGTAGCCAATTTAAACATTCACACCTAGCTCCAACAGGCAAGAGTTCTTTCTCCCACCCTGGACTTTCCACAGATATATAAACCCAGTTTCCCTAGTTTCCAACAGACCTCACAGCATAGGGAGATAATGCTTCTAGAACATTAGAACATGGCCATATAGCTGAAAAACAACCCATAGCTATGCTAGTTTCACCTTGAGGCAGCATAGATCACATGGGACTTGAAAGCAAACAACAATATGCAAATCCCAGGTAGTTCATTGTAATAAATGTGCCACTTTTAATGTATAGGGTGTAAAGGTGCTGAACAGCAAACAATAAAATACACTCTGGCCTTTCTCAGCCTGCTATAATATTGAAATGAGTTGAAATTCCTGACATGAAACTCCAGGCTCATATGTATAACACAACGCTGTGCAAATAGATAGCATTACGAAGAATAAAAGGGTTTATTTGTTACAGATACAATATTACAAGGACTCCAAGACAGAAGTTATCAGCACAGATTTGTGGATCTGCTGACCAAGGAACAGTTTTGGTTAAAACTGAATGAAGATAGGCTGAGTCAGAAAGGAGTGAGTAGAAAGCAGGAAAAGAGAAGCACTGCCATCTAGTGGCACGGTTAGGCCATACCATTTATTAATTTTTAAAGAATGTGCTCAGATGTACAAAAAATACAATAATGTACACAATCCACAAAATAGTGATATCTTGGGGGGGGGCAGCTAAAAAGACACAAAACACATAATATGAGCCATTTCTTTCTTCATCTGCCAAAGATAGTTGAAAATCAGGCGGGAGAAACAAAGTGATAAAGTTAGAATCATGGGGCTACTGTGTATCAGATAGTTTCTATTGTAGTTCAGTTGTGGAAATCCCTTGTGTATCTAAGGGATATGTTGTCTTTTCCTCACCTTCTCACCTTGAAGCTTTGCCCAGATTTTAAACCCCTCACTTAAGTCTTTCCTTTTTGTACTCTGAAGCCTCTTCTGAATTTCTCTCTCCCTTCCCACTCTATCCATCTCAAAACCTTGCCTGAACTTTAAAGTTCTCCCTTCCTCTCTCCTTTCCCTTTCTCTCCACTGAAAATAACACTGACACCTTCAAAGAAATTTGCATTTCAAACCTAGGCTACGACAGACTCCAGGGCTCTTGGAGTCTATTTATTTAACTTAGTGACGGTGAAGGGGATTCTGACACTCCCCGATCCAACCACCTTTGTCTGATGTGCATACTTTAGACTATAAGTTGGGCAGCTGAGCAGACAGAGACATAGGTCCAGATGGAGACTCACAGTGACGAGGTGGAAATTTACCCAGTCTCTCTACCCCAGTTCTACCTTGTTTTTGGACAAGAATGGCTACAATCCCATTATTTAACCTAGCATTTAATGTATAAGCAGGGTGGCTTTGGATTGGGTGAAGAAAAATATAACTTTGGTATGTGTTTATTTGAAAAGGTATTATAAAAGTTATTATTAGTTAAAGCAATGGTATTCCCCATAGTAACTTATGGATGTGAAAGCTGGACCATAAGGAAGACAGAGCAAAGGAAGATAGATGCTTTTGAACTGTGGTGCTGAAGGAAAATTCTGAGAGTGCCTTGGACCGCAAGAAGATCCAACCAGTCCATCCTCCAGGAAATAAAGCCTGACTGCTCACTGGAGGGAAGGATACTAGAGACAAAGTTGAAGTACTTTGGTCACATCATGAGAAGACAGGAAAGCTTAGAGAAGACCATTGTGCTGGAGAAAATGGAAAGAAAAAGGATGAGGGGCCGACCAAGGGTAAGATGGATGGATGTTATCCTTGAAGTGACTGGCTTGACCTTGAAGGAGCCGGGGGTGGTGACGGTCGACAGGGAGCTCTGGCATGGGCTGGTCCATTAACTCAATTTTTAAGCTGAAGAGCCGGCATTGTCCATAGACACCCTCTGCGGGTTGATGCTCATCTCAATTTTTAAGCTGAAGAGCCGGCATTGTCCATAGACACCTCCAAGATCATGTGGCCAGCATGTCTGCATGGAGCACTGTTACCATTCCGCAGAAGTGATACCTATTGATCTACTCACCTATTGATCTACTCACATTTGCATGTTTTTGAATGACTAGGTTGGCAGAAGCTGAGCCTAACAGCAGGAGCTCACCCTGCTCCCCAGATTCAAACCACCAACCTTTCAGTCATTATTACTGTCCTCCCTTGATAGCTTGAGGCATGGTACAACAAAGTTAAAAACATATGAACATAAAATATATACAATAAATTATATAAATAAAAACACAAAAATATTAAAAAATTACACTAAACACAGATATAGAATTGACATACAGTAGCAATAGAATGTAAATAAAAACTGATGACTGAAACTTGACTGGGTCGGATTGCAGGCATATAGCAGGGTTGGGAGAACAATAGCTTTATAAAGAAGCATTTTGATATCCCTACGGATGTCCTGGTCCTCAAACACTCTGTGCTTCATTTGGAAAAATGCTGCACTCGCAGAGCTCAGGCAGTGTTGTATTTCAGTGTCAATGTTGACTTTTGTGGAGAGGTCGCTGTCAAGGTAGTGGAAATGGTCACCATTTTCTAAGGTTACACCATTAAGCTGGATTTCTGGCATTGCACATTGGTTGGTTGGTGACTGTTGGAAGAGGACTTTGTTTTTTTCAATGTTTAATGACAGGCTGAGCTTCTCATATGCTTCTGCAAAGGTGTTTGGAGTGGCTTGTAGGTCTTCTTCAAAATGCACACAGACGACATTGTCATCAGCATATTAGAGTTCTATAATAGAAGACTGTTGCCATCATGTCATCGTGAAGGAGCTGTAGGATGTTCACAAATTTGTCAGGGCACCCAAATTTTTGGAGGATGGCACAGAGAGCACTGCCAAATTTTGCCCATGTCTGTCTGGTCTAGAACAATTTTCACACTATTCTGTGCTTGACTGAACTTATATTTGCACCTGGGACTGAAATAATCAGTCTTATTGGTTTAACAAAACCAAAGGGAAACATGTGACTTAGCTCAGCACAATTCTATCATATATTGAAGAGAAACAAATTATTTTGGCTTGATTTCTATTAGATTGGCCTGTTTCGCATCTTCGAATCTGGGGCAACACAGGCCATTGCATCACCAGACAGGTTCATCTTGGTGTAATCTCCTTTGTGTTAATAAATCTAGCTTAAGGCATCTGAATAGAGCAGGAGGCATCACACAACAGGCAGAAGTCTTGGGAGAAGAGAAGGCGGCAGAGCATTTCTGGAAGGTGCAAAGATGCTAGTCTCTCCTGTAGCTGAGAGGAACAAGGAGAGTATTCTGGAGGTGCTGGCTGATTATGTAGATGATACTTGCTCAACTTTTGGGCTGGAACTAGGTTCGGGAACAGGACAACATGTGGTGCACTTTGCCCAGGCCCTGCCCACTGTCATCTGGCAACCATCAGAGATCAGTCCAGCTTCACAAGAAAGGTACACCAGTCTGTAATATCAGCATTGTTTGGATGCAGCTGTAGAAAAGGTGCAAATGTTATTGAACTACAGCTCCTATCATCCCTCACCATTGAATATGCAGGCTACAGCTGTTGTGACTTACAATTCAACAATACTGAGAGCGGCACAGTTCACACCCTTGCTGTAGAATGGTGGACTGTGTTCTCCCTTTCCACCTTTTCATCAGAAGATAGAGGGGGTGGTATAACAAAATAGCTAGATTAGAGATGGGAACTGAATCTCCAGGAATGATTGGAATGCAATGAAACCTAGTCAGTCCTGTTTGATGCTGGGTGCTTCAGTCCAAACTCTGGAGGCAAAACTGTCCCTTTCTGTGAACTAGATTCTTACTTGTCTGTTCTGTGCTGGAGTGACCTTCCATTTGTGTATGCTATTGGTAAGCAAAATGATGAAATGGTTACTGGCTTCCAATCAACTAAATATTATGTACTACAAAAAGATGTGGTAACATATGATTGGTCTGTACTGGTTTTAATTTTTTTTCTCTTCGACTGCTTAATCTGTTTGTGTGCATGAAATCAGTGCTGATGTTTTGTGTTAACTTGCAAAATAAGAGATAAGGAAGTTGAGTAATCATATACAGAATTATGAACACTGTTTATATTGCATAAAATATGAAAACAAGGGACAACTGCCAAATTTAATTGAGGGACAAGTGCAAGGATATCTAGGGAGTTTTCTAAGTAATGAACAAATTAATGTTCCAGATGGGAGAGGAAGCAAAATATGGATAGTTGCAGAGAAAAAGCTTTAAGAAAAGAACAAGTGTGGAACGTTCCTATCTAGTTCATTTATAAAACAGGTGTTTTCCATTTCCAAGTAAATATTACTTCTTCCCTTTACAATAGATCTCAGAGACATGGTTCGGTGGAGTGCTGGAGTGTGACATAATGAACAGCTTGTCACAAAAAATATCCCATATATTAGTAGCTGAGTACCTATGATCATATATACATACAGAAATCCACCATTGTAACTTATACAGTTTAATACATTCAGCTATCCTGTTACCAAAGAACAACAGTCTAAATTACTCTTGATCAGCTTTAAACTGGAGTGTGTGGTCATATAACTGCTCTACTATCTGAATCCATCTTGCAGCTGGTTCTGTTTTGGATGGGGGACTATGAAATGTCATTTCAATTTTTGTACCAATCACAGAAACTTTATACTTTCCCTCTTTGTTCTCAGTATCTCAGCTTACATCCGTGCCACCAAGGTGACCAATGTCCGAGAGCCCCTCTTCATAGATGTGTCACAGCCATGGAACCAGTGGGCTGGCTTAGGTCAAAGCTGTTGTGACTTCATTGTCATTATCAACGTGTTACACATGACTGATCAAGGCCTAGAGGTATAACATGAGAACCAGGGGAAACCTACACCAATGGTATTGGAATTGACCCTTTTTTGGGGTTATTATTTGACACTTTATTCAGTGGGTGGTATAAAAAAAGGATATTGTATTGACCTCACATTTGTTGTTATTGCAGGGAATGTTTAAAGGCGTAGGACAATTGCTGAAACCTGGAGGCATTTTCTTAGCCTATGGTGTAAGTATCAGGAACTCATTCTTTTCTGCTCACCCACTATTCCGTTAAAGCCCAGTATGAAAGCAATCCTTTTGAGAGTGGAAGGAATGACTAACACGTTTCAAGCTGACCTGAACCTTGCTTTATCGGAATATTACCCTCAAATAATTAAGTATCAAACCAGTGGAGTATTCAAACTGGGCAGGGGAAAACAATATGGGAATCTATCCACCTTTTGGCTCCTGTTATTTATGCCTAAGCAGACCTTTCCTTTCCTCACCTGCTACTACAGGCAATTCAAAGTTCTCTTGCTCTAAAGCAGTGTTTCTCAAATTCTGCTCCTTCAAATGTTTTGGACTTTAACTCCAATTCCTGGCAAGCTGGCTGGGATTTCTGGAGTTAAAGTCCAAAACACCTGGAGAAGCAGTTTGAGAAACACTGCTTTAAAGTATGGAAGTATTTTGTGGGTTGCTGTGGTGGGTTGCTGTAGGTTTTTTGGGCCGTATGGCTATGTTCTAGAAGCATTCTCTCCTGATTTTTTGCAAGCATCCAGAGATGCAGGCGAAATGTCAGGAGAGAATGCTTATAGAACATGACCATACAGCCTGAAAAAGCTACAACCCAGTGATTCCAGCCATGAAAGCTTTTGACAATATACCCCTGTTTATTTATCATGTCAGGGGCAACCAGACAATTGTATTACATTTCTAACAGAACAAAACACAAAACAAACAAACAGACAAAACACAAAGTTTGCAAGCTTGGTAGTTGATTAAATGTCCTTTGACCAGTATCTGGCCACTTGGAGTGCCTCTGGTGTTGCCGCAAGAAGGTCCTCCATTGTGCATGTAGCAGGGCTCAGGTTGCATTGCAGCAGGGGGTCTGTGGTTTGCTCTTCTCCACACTCACATGTCGTGGATTCCACTTTGTAGCCCCATTTCTTAAGATTGGCTCTGCATCTTGTGGTACCCCTGTGATGTTTGTTTTTCTGTCTGTGCCCGCTCAGAAGATTTCACCTCACTTTCTGTCCATGATAGAAATTGGATTTTGACAAAATTAGCTGGTGGAAATAAGGATTGATGATAAAGTTTCAGTGGAGACGCCTTTTCCTTTTCCAGGGGTAAATTTCCCTTCCTAGGGGTAGATCTCTCACTTTCTGTTGTCCTACCCCCATTATTAACTATGAGTTGTTTGAAAGTCCGATGTTTGTTAACTAAGGGACTGCCTGTATTTGTATTTATAACAAAGTATCCATAAGAACCAGTGGGGATTAATCAACTACCAGAATCATTCCTATCAATTTAAGGCTGGGATAGGGATCCTATGCCCCATGCTTCTGGATCATGTGATTTTAATGTTTATATTGATGTGTTTTTAATCCTATGTTTTAATGTAGTTACGTTTTATGATTTGATAGGTTTATGTTACTGTTGTTATGTTAGGATTTCATGTCTTGTGAGGAATTGAATTTTGCTGTGAATATGTCAGAAACCACTTTGAGTCCCCCCCCCCCCCAAGGGTGAGAAAAGCAGTGTAGTATATAAATGTAAGTAAATAAATAATAAATAATAAATATAGCCATCTAAATAACATTGGATGGGAACTCGCATCAACCTTTGCCAGCAAGAACAGTCCTCAGGAATAATAGAAGCTATAATCCAACACAGAGAAGCTACTCTTTCTCTGCTCATTTTCAAGTCCAGAGTCAATGGTATCTATGCAGGCTCTACTTCAGCTAACCATAGGGAGTGGCTGGAAAATAGCTGGGGTTTCCCCAATCCTATCTTAAGGCCTCCGGGTCTCCCTCCTCTCTTCTTGCCCACTAAAGTCAAAATTCTCAAGTACTCCTGTCTCTTTGGTGGCTAAATAGTAATTTTCACACTGCTTCCACTTTCCAGCCTTTTGCAATTAATGGGATCATCTTCCCGGAGTGCAACGTGAAACTAGATGAAATGCTCCAAGCCAGGTAAGTTAGAAGGATGAGATTCCTACTCAAAAAGTCTCAAACAAGATTCTATTTTGTGGTGTCCTCATGAGATATTAAAATAGAGGAAGAGTGAAGGGACAACATAAAAAGTTTAATTACATATTTCTTATCACCATTACACTTAGTAAGAACAGCATAGATTATGTATATATTGCAGCAAGAATCTCTATACTTCACCCTCGTCTCCCTACAAAATTGTGTGTCTTAATTTATAGTTTTCCTTCCTTGGAATAGGCTCTAAATCTGTGTTGCAAGGAAGAGGCTTCATGCTCCAACTCCTAACGCAATACTTTTACATGGCAGGAATCCTGAATGGGGGCTGCGAGATGTGGAAGAGCTCCGTCAATTGGCAAACGTCAATGCACTCCGGCTTGAGCGCATGGTAAGAACTGCAGAAAACTCTATGGCCTCAGCCTGCTGTTTCCCTCTTCTGTCTTCCATTTTGAATATATCTACCTATCCTCTTCAATTCTGTGTCTTTTTCTCCCACAGCTGGAGATGCCTGAATACACAAAATGCCTGATCTTTCGGAAGAGGGAGTGATGATCTCTGACTATAGCCCGGGTACTGTTTTCACAAGAACAAAATAAACATTAAATTCTGAAATAACAACAGATGCAACTGTAGCTTCCTTGGGAATTAGGTTTTAAGGCAGGGCTTCCCTGTATTCCAATTTCAAAGTGATCTCTGTATTGCAGTGGTTTTCAACCTGTGGGTCCCCAGATGTTTTGGCCTTCAACTCCCAGAAATCCTAACAGCTGGTAAACTGGCTGGGATTTCTGGGAGTTGTAGGTCAAAACACCTGGGGACCCACAGGTTGAGAATCACTGCTGTATTGCTTTACAGCCCACTTACACAACTATGCTAAAGAGTTGCTCCCCATGTGAAGACAAAGTTTAGCAGGACATACATGGAAGCACAGACTGAAAACATTTTAAATTACTTTAATTGTCACTGGTTCCATTCTGTCTACACCAGCCACTAAGTACGACAGACGAGTCTTCAAAAGCAGTGAAGATAAGTGGGACTTTGGGGGTGGGGGGGATGGGCCTGGAATACAAAATGTTGAAATTCATGGGTTGTCAAAAGGTATTGAGAGGAGGCATGGGGGAGGACTTCATTTGGAGGTGTGCAGAATGAAGGCCACTTGATTGGCAAGATGCAGCCATAGGATGTGTTGGGGAGGACAAGAACGCAGGCCCAGGTCATGCTCTGGGTTGGACCCTGTTTGATTTGGTTCTGGAGCATGCTTTAATGCTGCTTCCTACAATGGCACATGTGCTCTGCTCTCCATCCAAATAGAGCTGGATGGGTCAAGCTCTCTCCACAACCAAGGAATGACATGGAGGGGATCTGGATACATCAGTCCCATGCGCCAAGCTAGAGATTCTCTTAGCAGCATTTCAGATGGGGTGGCAGTGTGAGGCAACTCAGGGCAGGCTCTCAGTTCTCCCTTCCCCACTGTGGGGATAGCGCAAGGAAACAGCAATGGTGTAGCAGTGACAAACAGATGATAGTGTTAACAAGATCTTAGAAACCCACCCCTCCCTGTCATCATCACCAGACAAAGATTAGTCAAAGGAAATTAGCTGGGCCTCTCCACTGCCCCCTTGTGCCTGCTGCACCTGAGCAGACGAAGGCTGGGGAGGGGGCTGCTGCTGAGGAGGGCCTCCAGGGGGCGCCATCTGCAAGGAGACAAACAAGGAAGTTAGGAAATGGAGCCCTTGGAGGGGTTCTTCCATTCAAACATCTGTAGGAAAGGGCTACCAGAGAGATCAACAGCACATCAATGCTTAGTTTAAGGTGACCACGACATTAGCCCAGTCTGCTATTGAAGTAGAACATAAAACACATTCTCCTGAAACTGGTTAGAGCAGTGGTTCCCAACTCATGAACCATGAAACCCATAATAAGGTCTATGGCTGGAGGTGTGTGCCACTGTTGGAGGAGAGAGAGAGAGACAAGGGGAGGGAGGGAAGGAAACCAGAGCCGTTGCCCTCGCCCTCTCACAGCTTTCCCGGCAGCATTGGAGGAGAGTGAGAGAAGCAGAGTCCCCCAGAGTAGTTGTTATTATTAATACTAATATTATTATAAGCTCCCATTGCCACACATCAGTTGTAATGAGAAAGCAGCCCTTTGTAAGACCCTGTTTAGTCCCCCAAAGTTGCTGCTGCTGCTGCTGTTGTTATTAGCTCCCGTTGTCAAACACAAGAGGTGTGAGGAGAAAGCAGCCCTTTGTAAGATCCTGTTTAGTCCCCCAAAGTGATGGTGATAGTGATAGTAGTAGTAGTAGTTGTTATTATTATTATTATGGCCGTTAGGGACAGTTTCTTGGGTCTGGCACTCCACTTTTTGTTTTTTTCAACCTCACCCCCCTCCCTTTCTTTTTTAACACGAGCATTAACAATTAATACACAGCCCAACCGAAAAAAAAATTTCTTGGTATTTTCGTTTTTAGGCCTGTTCCTGTGGTTATTTGGTGTCCTGATTCAGAAAATTGCATTGGATAGATCGCATCAACTCTAGATTATTAAATATGGTTTTCTGTGAGTAAGCAGATGGCAACTACTGGATGGCATATGTTTTGTATCAGAAACCAGAGCTGATATGGTCTATCCAATGCAATTTTCTGAATCAGCACCCCAAATAACCAAACCGAATCCAAAGTTTACCAAAAACTGATTTGTAACCCTTTTGGTACTAATGTTGGAGAGTGGTCCCTGGTCAAAAAAGGTTGGGAGCCACTGGATTAGAGACTTACCTGCTGATACATAGGCTGTTGTCCTGACATGTAAGGCTGCTGAGGTGGCAAGCTACTCAAACCTGGTTCCTGGCCAGGGAGGGTTGACATGAGGTTCTAGCAAGGAGAAAGAGAGAGAGAGAGTGATCGAACAAGCCACAGCCTGAACAACATGCGCCTTGTGCTTTTGTGCCATGAAGTCATTTCTGACTTATGGCTGCCCTAAGGCAAACGTATCATAGGGTTTGTTAGTAGGTTTTATTCAGAGAGGGTGTACCACTGCTCTCCTCTCAGACTGGGAGTGAGACCTGCCCAAGTCATCCAGTGGGTTTTCACAACAAAGTGAAGATTTGAAGATTGGCCTCCCAAAGTTCTAGTGTAACACATAAACCGCTATGATACCACACTGGCTCTCTGGGACCTATGCATAGAAATTGGGAGTTCTCTGCCAATCCTTTTTCTGAGTGAGCCATCTTCACACATGCATACAAAAGTGATTCCTTACCTGCATGTTGTAGGGTTGGTAGCTCATTGAAACTGACTGATTGCCCATGTAGCCCATTGTGCCACCAGATGGCGGAGGAGCCTGTGTCATGGCAGGGATGCTCTGGGCTTGGGAAGGGGCCGCTGCATTCTGCAAGGCAAAGAGGGCAGGGGTGGGCAAACGCACAGAAGAGCATGTGGCACAAAGAGATTCTGGTCTTCCCAATTTCACTAGTAAGGCGTTATGCAAGGCTAAAATGTACAGTAGGTATACTGCTGGCTCTCTTCAAGAGAATTCAAGGCAATGCACATAAGTTTTTATATTTGATTCTTACAGCACAGTGAGGAAGGTTGGGTTATGAGACTGGCCCAAGGAAGCTTTACGGCTAGAGAGGAAGAAGATGGGTTTTCCAAGCTCAAGCCCAACATTTAACTAGTTAGAACTCCACATTCACTGGGGTTAGGGACACAGCACCCCCACCCCCAAAGTGGAAAACTGTAAATAAAAAACAGCCATATTTTTGCACGAGAGAACACCTTTCTAGCAATCTCTAGTTCCTCCAGCATGACTCTGGACATCTACTGGGAGTTGACCAGAGAATCACACTGAAATGTATTTATTTATTTATTTCTTTATTTAGAGTGTTTGTATCCTGTCCTTCTCAACCACGGAAGGGCGAGTCAGGATGGCTTACAATTGGCAGTCATTAGATGCTGACAAAGAAACAGAGAACAATTAACACAAACAGGTCAACAGCAATAAAAATACATTAAAAAAGCAATAAGTGATCTCTAGAATGAATGATCTAGTGATTCCTAGAGAGAAGATCTTAGTCAACTCCTTGAATAATCAAAGCTTCGAAAGTCAAATATGCATATGTGGAAGTCCACCTGTATTCCACTAGGGCAGCCTCTTCCAAACAGTCTTAACCACGCTACGTATGGGAAGGGATGAGACTGATTTACTGTTTTAACAATGGCTTATGTATTGTTAATTATGCTTTTATGTCTAATTGTGGTTTTAATTTTGTAATTTGTTATGTAATGGCTTCGGAATGAGGCCCATTGTAAGCCGTCTTGAGTCCCCCTTTGGGGTTGAGAAGGACGGGACAGAAATGCAAGAAATAATAATAATAACAACAACAACAAAAACAACAACAATAATAAGGGACTTGTGGGTCTGAACTTACCTGATAGCCCTGGGTAGGAGTAGGTTGGTAAGAGGAATAGGCAGGGTTTGTAGTGGGCACTGGCTGTCCTTGAGGAGCTGTCTGTGCACTGTTAGTTCCAGTTGAGTACATATAAGTGCCCACCATGTTGGGGTCTGAAACACAGGTCATGAATGAGTAAAAGATACCCTTCTAGGATCAGCTCAGTAATCTATGTGTTAAATCAAGAGCCTTCAGCTCTTCTTACTATTTCCCCCCTACTGTTCTTACCTGTTCCTGCCACAGGCATTGCAGTGTAGGGCCCAGCGCTGCCCTGGGCGGGTTGGCTCATGTACACTGTATGCATGGGTGAGCCCTCGACTGAGCTCGCTGGGCTGAAGGTGGCTGGGAAGCTTGTGGGGCCTGAAGGCTGGTAGATCACCCCACCAGCAGGAGGCATGGCCTGCAACTAAAAAGATAAGAAGTGAGGCCAAGGAGGAGGGGGGCTTGCCTCCGCTCCTGCCCTTGCCTAGTTCATAGGGGAGGGAAACAGGTCAGAAATCTCTGGTCTCCCCATTCTTCCTACCTGGGCATAAGGCAGGGAGAAAGCAGGCATTTGCGCCCGCATCTGGATTGTTTGCTTCTGTTGCTCCAAGCGCATCTGGCGCTCCTTTTCCTGCTCCTGAAGGCGCTGGATAGCCAACTGCCGCTGCATCTCCAGGTATTCCTACCAGTGAAAAACATGCACATTGGGGATTTCGTCCCTGAGCCACTGCGCTTCATGTTGTACTGGGTTTGCTATTTGCCAGCCATTTTTTGAGAAATAATAATAATAATAATAATAATCAACTTTATTTATATTTCAGGGGGACTCTGGATGGATTCCAACATACAGCAGCAAACATCCAATGCCTCCATAAAATAAATATCAACATCATAACCGCTGAAACCCCCACGTATAAAAACATTTGGAACCTAACATCAATAGATTAAAGCAAAATGTAATCAAACAAAAATGAAATCAAACAAAAATGGCAAACATATCCTTAGGTTATGCAGTCACACTTTTCACAAGCCAGTGGAAGGCTCACCTGTTTCTTCTGCCTCATAATCTCCAGTTTCTGGGCCAGCTGGATCTGTCTCTGTCGCTCTGCCTCCTCAGCAGCACGGCGCAGCTTCTCTCTGTGTTCCTCTCGCAGAGCATTCAGGGCTCCCCGGGCATCCCGGATCTGGGCAAGCTTATCTTGAAGTCCCTCATAATACACTGGAAGCAGATGGGAGAAAGGCAGTGTCAAGACTCCCACCTTTAGACACACCTCCCTGAGACTGAACAGATCCCACCAAGAGTAAAGCAGGGGTTGAATTCTCAATTAAAGCCAAAGGAAAGTAGATGCTGTGGTAGGAAGGGGGGGATGAGATGTGGTTTGTACCAGCAGAAGTACATAAGGATGCCAGATGGCAGACAATGATTTAAAGGGAGCATAATACTGCTACACAACCCACACACACACCCCTCCCTGGTATCCAACCCCAACAGGGGACTGGGGTTCTAGGAACATACAACGGCGCTCATCCAGCTGATTCAGCAGCTCCAGGAGTTGGGGGTGCATGCTGTTGATGGACTGGAAGAGCGAGAGCACAGCCGAGTCGTTAGTAATGCTCCGACCCCGGAGGTGATTGCTCTTCATGCGGTTGACAAAGGTGGTGACAGCATTCTGCAAAGCCTTCAAGAACTGCTCGTGGCTCTCATCTGTCTCTCCATTTTGGTACTGCTGCTGAGGAGGAATTGAAACCAGGAAGTTGAAAGACCAATTCCCAACCCAGTTTACAATTCTAGGAGTACTTTTTATTTCATTTTTTAATTTTAATATTTATTAATTAATTAAAATAAACACATACGTTCGTGTTTGTTGTATACAGTGAAATATTTTCCAGCTATTCGTTATCATTTCTAATATAATATATTTTCTTTAAGGGATCACAGTCTTGTTTGAGGCATATTGAGATACAAGTGGTTTTAATGCTTGATATGTTTTTAGCAATTTTTTAATGTAGATGTTTTATTTTATTTGATGTATGTTCATATTGGCATCAAATTGCTGCTTATATATGTAAGCCACTCTGAGTCCCCTAAAGGGTGAGAAGGGTGGGGTATAAATATGGTAAATTAGTAAGTAATACACATCAGCTCTAAATTAATATCCACTTCCTCCTTGTCGACAGTCTTATAGGATCCCTTATGTACATTTTTAGTTTAATTATACTTTTTATTGAGATGTTGGATCACTTGTTGCCATTCACTGACAAGTTCTGTAATAGTTCTGCTCTTAAGAGTACAGTTATTTTATCGATAACAAATCTGTCATGTATTTCTCCCATTCTTCTAGGAATACTTTTTAATTCAGGATTACCACTCTCATCTCCCCTACCTTAGAAGCTCCTTTATAACGTCCCTTTCCCTAAAAAGACAACACCTAGGACAAATGTGGCACACCCTGAACGTCAATTCTTTTTTTTTACCTGGCTACTTCCATTCAAGAAAAAAACAGCAGTTGCCCCCATTTAGACAGCGTGAGACCTGTGGAAATGCAGGAGAGAAAGTCCTTACCTCCACTACACTGAGTGGGGCAGGCTGGACCTCAGTGGACTGGGCTGCTGGCTCCCCCATAGACAGTGGGGCCGAAGGTGTTGGGCTCTTGCGCACTTCCTCTTGTTTCTTTTCCCAGTAGTTGCGGTTCAAGTACCGAGCCAACTGTCAGAAGGCAGTGAGAAAAGGAAAGCCAACTCAGATGTCTGTAGGCAAGTCCCCACAAAGACCTGCAGTCATCTGGCCTAATGAAGTTGAAGAAGTGGGGTGTTCTTACCTCAGGATCAATATCCTCAGCTAGAGGTGCAGAGGAATTCTGAAATGAAATAGACACCAAAATCGCTTTACTTCGTCGAAGAGCATTCATGAGGTGTATCCTCAACTCACCCAGCAACCATCAGGAGCTAATCTTAAAAGCTTGAAGGCAAGAATACTGAGAGGTAAAAGGGGAGCTGCTCAAGCAAGGGACACAAGTTGAAAACCTACTTGAATTCCACGGGTCCAAGCAGCTTGGGTATAAACTACATAATTTTAATCAGTGATGTGAACCTAAGCATCAACAAGAAGTGCCAGGCACTTCCTGAGCTGAAGACTTACCACAGGTGACGAATAGAGGGTGCTGACTGGAGGGGCTGAAGATGTAATTGGTGTTGGTTCTGCCTTGGGGTATGTGGAGAATGTGCTTTTCTGCCTCTGCAGTGGGAAAGAATGATAAAGGATGTAATCTCCCAACTTGTAAAACAGGCCTTTGTCCATGTGAAAGAGGAAATGGAGTATCAGTTTTTTCCCATTTAACAGTTACCATGTTCAGCCAAATCTTTACGATACTGGCATGTGTGTGATGAGTGCCTTCGCAGGGCCTTTACTACTCTCACACAGAAATAATATACGAAAAGTAATAAGGTGTCAATTATTGGAGTTAAATTTGATTTGTATGATATCTGGAATTGATTTCTGGCTCTGTGACAAACAGCTGATGAATTGCTTTATGCAATAGAGGAGGTCTTTTCTGCCTTAGAACCAGGGGAGATTGGACCTCAGCATGAGCTGTTTCGCAGCAGGAGACAGAGCCTTGATTTACTCCAAACACAGAGCTATCAAAACTCTTTGGCCAACACAAGGCAGCCAGCCAGCCATAGGAGGCCTACATGGCACTGATGTAATGGAAATCCCCCACCATAACCAAGACACAAACCATCCTTTCCTTCTCCTCAGCCTCTGACTGAGACAATGCAATTGCCAACTGCAGCTCCTCTTCCTCCTGCAGAGCGGTTTCATCACGCTTTGGAGGCAGCTGCAGAAACAGCAAGGGGTAGCTGTGTAAGCAAGGCGAGCAAGGGACCCATCTCTACCCCTCCCATGTAAGCACTCACCTGGGACTGCTGAGAGAGAGGGCTGGTCAGGTACTCTGGAGGAAGCTCTGTGCTACCAGTCCCTTTGCCTTCTGCTTTCCTGTGGGGACATTAAGTCCAAGGTCATGGTCACTACTGATGGCTACCTTGCTAATAAGGTGAAGGGGGGAGGGCTAGGCAACTGCTACTGAACTGTGGCACAATGATTTGTAATAAGCCAATGAAGCTCTTGGCTCCGGAAGCTACACACCACAGAACAAACAGACAAGTCCATTGAGTTATTATAGGAATGACTCACACCTGCAGAAAAGGCTGCCAAAACATTCAATGCTTACTTGTTGAGGTGCTCATAGCAAGGCTCGCACACTCGCACCTCCTTCTCTATGCCAAACTTGGGGATGGTGGAATACTTAGAGGAGCACTTCCCACAGAAAATCTGCCCACATGCCCGACAGTGATGCTGTGGAAACAGTGAATAAATTAAAGGTGGCAGCCAGTAACTCCAAACAGGCATCCACAAAATGGAGAGAGAGCTAAAAATATTGCCCCAGCATCCATTTGCTCTCCACTGGATGGCTCTGTGTTACCAAAGCAGGAAAGCTCAGATCTGGGCCAGAGAGCTACAGCACTCACCTTGCGAGTCACCACTCCAAACTGGACCCGGCACCGGTGGCACTCTTCCGCATCCACCCAGTCAGGAGCCTGCCACATAGAAGCAGAATAACCCTTAAGTAATAAAATGGCGTAGGTTTTGAGATGATCCAAAGGGTGTAAAGAGCATTCCCAAGAACAATGGTATGTTGGAATGAGTCAGGCGAGAAAAATGCAGACACAAGCATTAGGGAGCACAACTGGGGCAATGTGGATGTGGTAGGAAATTCACCTCGGAGCTCAGAAATTATGCCACAGGCACTGAAGGTGTTAAGGAAGAAATAGTGTATCCTTTTCTAAACCTTTATGTCTGTAGCTAATGACTTCCAAGACATTAAGTAGGTTTAAAAGACATGCCCGTGTTAGTCTAGATCCAAAAAGATCTTGTAGCACCTTTGAGAGTACCTACAGAAAAAGGTTGATATCATAGACCAACTTCACCAACTGCATAATGAAGAGGTGTCAAGTAATTGGAGGAAGGCTGGAGAGGAAAGGAACCTTAGAAAATGCTCTTCATTTCTACTTCCTTAAATGTACAGACAGAGTGTGATACTTGTAATTTTGCCTCTGTCTTGCTTAACTGGCTGTATGTCATGGGAAACAAGCTCAGCTCAAATTCTCAGCACTGGAAGCAGTATCAAGTTCTAAATATAATAGAAAAATCAAAATAATTTCCTTGTTCGTGGTGTGGCCCTTTCCCAACCGAGATACTCACCCTTTCTGCTGCAAACATGGCATCGCTTTCTTTGAATTCTGGAAAAACATGACCTGCAGATAAAATTAATGCTGTTATTTTAATTGAGTCCAGTTGCTAGTGCCCAGGCCCTTAAGATGAGAATTGTATGTCAGGCCTGTCAGATTGTGTATATTCTGTCCTGAGTGCTGCCACAAAAAGATGGCCACAAAAAAAACTTGGGATTCAGCAAAGTGAAGAGCCCCATATTGTCCGGAAGCTTCCTTTATTCTTCTCCCAAGCCACCCATCCACCCATTTCATACCTTCACAGATGTTCCATCTGCTATCTTTACCTTCTACTTTCATGATCTGATATGTATCCTGGACGACCTTGTATTTGGGCTCATTGCGGAAAGCATGGGCCCATGCTTGGATTAGGTAGAGGATCTTGTTGCGAACATTGGCTTCAACCTGTCTCTGTTGAGATAGGAACAATCAAGATTAGGCAGTGCTCAAGTTGGAGTCAAACCTCAATCCTCATAGGAACAGTATTAGGATATCTATTTTAGGGCATGAAACTCAAAGCAATGCCTCATCCCACCTAGCTCTAGAAATCTAACCTCAGTTTGTCTCTTTTTCTTCTTAAATCAGTACCTGCATACTAACACCTTTACTAGGGGTTTCTTCACAAATTTACTCCAGGTGCAAAGGAAAGTGAATTAATATATTGGGGCCAGAATGCTAACTTATGATGCTCCAACACTCTAGCTAATGTAAGCAAGTTAGAAGGATGTAGCCAAAGGTGTACAAGTCAGCTGCTGGCTTCTTAACATATAAATGCATGGTCTTTCATTGTCACTGCCATCCCCGTTGCTATAGCACAGTTACAAGTTGCTGGCAAAGTCTAAATTCACATACTGAGATGGGCAGAACACATCTTACTTATAAATAGCCCAAGAGCAATGTGAAAACAAGTCTAAACAAAACTAACACCAAATAGAGCTACACCTTAGCCCACTAATCCTTCTAGTTCTGTATGGTGACTACGGACTCACAACAATTCTCCAGGGTGCCATAGGCCTTTGCCAACATACCTGGGGAGGTGTAGAATGTGACATACAACCTGGGAGTTCCTTGGCTTAGTGGTAGGGAAGCAAGCAAAACATGTGTTCTACCACTGAGCCACAGGAATATTACTGAACTTCAGTGAGAATAAATTCAAGATACTAATTCTTTCAAGTGTTATGTCAATGATGTTACACATCAGCTAGAACAAATGGGTTTGATCATGTTGTTATTTTTTTTTTGAAGGCAGTGAAAACTTTTTGCTTATTTGGCAGTGGTCAGTAATGATCCATATTCACTAGAAAATGTGACTGCAATCTTTTGTACACATTCTTATGCATTTATTTATTTATTGCATTTATATACCGCTTTTCTCACCTCTGTGGGAAACTCAAAGCAGTTCACAACATAATCAATGGCAAAATTCAAAGCCTCACATAAATAAACATCACATCTCAAATTGACAACAAATGACAGTATATTAAAACCATTAAAACTATAGCAGCAATCATAAACACAACCTAAAACATTTAGGTCTCATTGAAGTCAACTGGGCTTGCCACTAAAAATATATGTAGAACTGTATTCTACAATTCTGAATTTTCTCAAGTCAAAGCATGTCAAAGCTGCTTCACATTTGTTTTAGCACCCTTTGGTACTTTCAGTACCTCTCTAGACATATTGTCCAAATTACCTTCAGCAACTCCTTCAGTTCTTCCATAGTCTGTTTGTTAGCCACTTCATCATGGAGTGTTTGTCCACAGTTCTTTACCACAGACTCCAATACCTAAAAAATAAATACACAAAAGCAAGTATAGTCCACTTTTGAATCCCAACAACCTTCCATGGTAGCATAAGATTGGGTCCTTCTTTGGAAAAAAAAAGTGCAGTTGGCACATCATAGAGGTAAAAGGGAAGACAACTTTTGCTTTATGACCAGAAAGACAACAAGTTGAAGAGTTTCTGTTTACTTCATCTTACCTCCAGTGCATAGAGAGCCACATGTGGATTCTTGTCATTCACTTTCTTCTTTATTGCACCCACAGCATATTTAGCTCTGGACAAAAAGGAAGAAAGAATGGCAACTGAAATACTTAAAATTCAGTGACAATGCTATTGCTAATATGTAAGATGTCAAAGCCAATACTGAACTAGACTATAGTAAGTGGCTAATTAACAAATCAAATTTATTTACCTCAAGGCAGGGACATTCTGCGTATCTATGTATTTTCTATGAGAATTTTACCACTAAAAATATGCTTGGTTAAGCAGCTTCATTTCTGGTAGTTGTTGAGAAAGCTCTTTGAAACATCTCTATTCCCTTCTTAGATTCCTAATCTTTCTAAAAATCCATTCTTTGCCAATCACAGAATCAGAACATGCAGAATTGAGCTGAGACATACAAATACCAAGTTCATCTCTTGTGCTGTGCTGAAATTTCTTATTAACATTAAATCAGTAGTTTTTAGGATCAAAGCCCATAGACTTTTTTCCTCCCTACTCCATCAGCAGAGAATATAATTCTAGAATATCAGCCATCAACAGATGGTGAATCTGATTGGCCTGACAATCCTGGTTAATTTGAATGGTCTGGAGACAGTTCTGAATGAGCAAGCTCCAGAGAGTATTACAGGAGTACAGATAATGTTGTATTTGTATGCAAAAGATCCAGGTTCAAGTCCCTATTCAATGAATAATGGTGGGCAAACCATATATTCCTATCTAATCACAATATACCCAAGGGAAAATATTGTATGAATGGAATGAGCAACACAAAAGTTGGTATAGATAACACGACTTACTGAGTGTCACCTTGACGAATCATATCACAAATCTGTAAGATGGACTCCCAGTCTGTCTCCAACAGAAGCTGACTGGTAGCTTTATCTGCAAAACATTAAAATGACCATTCATCTTCCAAATCAAATGTTATATTTTGTCTTTGCTTGGAAAGGCATGGGGATGTACTGTCATTTTTTGACATTTTCTGGACAAAGATTATTAAGATTTTACTAAGATTACATCTGTTCATTTTTATGTGAGCTACTTTTTTTTACTGTTGTTAACTACAAACTGTCTGCAAATGCTGAGGGGAAAAATCTTCTATCCCCCAGTAAAAATCACAGAGATATATACGTGCTGAATGTTGGCAAATGAGCCTGCATATGTGATGTCTGCTCCTTCAGTTTTACCATTCCTGTTTCCCAACCTGTCTACTCTTAATGTCTGGAAGTCTTTCTCTCCAGAAATCACACTCTCTCCTTTCATGTTCCCACCCCCAAGAAAATTGCTCTGTTTTGTAATGCCTTTAGTATGAGTTTTTTCATTCCACATCTAAAACGAAGTCGTCTTTTGTATGTGTTTTCTTTGTATAACTACAACCCTTTCCTTCATCATTGTTAATACTATAAGGTTCTTTAAACAAAACATGCTTACATTACAATAATGTGCCATGCTCACAGAGAGCTCTATATGAAAAAGGGAGAAAAGGCTCATAATGCATGAACACAATGTCCTGTGTGTCCACCACTCCTTACGATTAGCTGATCATTTGTTGACATTAAACATCAGCTGACTAACCTCAGATATTTTCCTCTTGTAACATTTGACCTATAAACGCATTCTTGACTCAGTGTGACGCCAGCATTTCCCCAAACACTTCCTGGACTTGTACAGCTTGATTTTTGCATAGCAATGTGGTCATCAACACTATAAAACATGTTGGCAGATACATAGTGTCTTTCCCCAGGATTTAAATTGGGCCAGATTACTCAGTAAACCAAACTTCAGCTCTGATTCAGTAAAATGTCCTTCATTTGTAACAAAATAGCCCAAAACCTGTTTCACAAATGCCTAATCTACGATCAAGGAAAACACTGCCTCTTTGGATCAACACAATAGGGACACAACAGAGGATCAAAGGCGTCAGACAGCCCAGCCGGTCACTTTGCTTCGCCCTTGGCCAGTGAGGGAGAGGAATAAGAGGGGGTTTTGTGGCATCCATATAATCTTCGGCCCTCCCCCAACTCGCGAGGTCAATGGCCGGAGATTCTGGGAGCCCAGGCCCAAAAACATATGGAAAAGCAAAGGTTGAAAAGAACGGAGATAACGGGTAGAAAGGGGAGTAAAACAATCGCGGCCCAAAACTTCGCTTGGGACGCATCGACGCTGTCACATAATCCAGTTTCAAACTGCATTATATGGCGGTGTCAATGGGGCCTTTGTTTTGACACTGTAAATTACTTAATCACAACGGCTTTTAGGAAGGGGCCGTTCTCTCTCCGAGGAGTGGCAAGGCTGGGCTTCTGACTCAAGCCTGGCCCGCATTAGCCTCAGGCGGAGGGGGAAGGGAAGGGGAAAGGGTTCGGAGCTTCCCGGCTGCAACGGAGCCTCCGGCAGCGCTCGCCCGGCCCTCCTCCCCGCCTCCAGGTACCCAGGAGCCGCTCGAAGGTGCCTCCGCCTCGCCCCATGGCGCCGCTCGTTCGCTCGCTCGCTCGCCCAAGACCAGAGAAGCCCGTCCGCTGACTCTGCGCCGCCAGCGAAGCTGTTTCCGCCACCTAGGCCCCAATTCCGGCTTCCGCACGGCGCCGAGGCGGGATTTCCGGCGGCAGGCGCATGTGATTGGCGGGCGTGGGATCGGAATGACAGGTTCTTCCGCTGCCGCGCCTTAACCAATGACGGAAGCGCGAGGAGATTGCGGCGGAGGGGGTGTCCGGAAGAAGGAGTGGCCTCAGTTGCTATGGCAACGGCTGGCCGCGAGGGCGCCATGTACCTGCTTTTGGGGAGTTCGGGCGCCGGGAAAACGCTGCTGGTGAAGCGGCTGCAGAATATCCGGATTATCAGAAGCGGAGGGAGAGGCTTGGGGCCTGAAGGGAGGGGAAGAGGCGGGAAAGGAGGAGGCTTTAGGGCCCGGAGGGCCAGCCTTTGGGCCTCCCTGCCCTTTGGGGCCTTTCTACATTGCCATATAATCCAGATGATCGAAGTAGATGATCCACATTTATCTGATTTGGACCGATTCTAGAGTCCACACTATCATATAATCTAAGCATTTGGATAACGTAATTTTAATAATGTTTAAGGTTTGATATATTTTTAATTATTGTTAGGGCCTTTTACTCTCGCACTTAAGACCTGGCTTTTTACTAGAGCATTCGATCTCTGTTAATTTTTAAATTCTGTATGTGTGTATTTTATCTTTTACAATTTAGCTTTAAATCGCCTGGAGCATTCTCAGATGGAGGGCGATTAATAAGTAATTAAATATGATGATGGTGATGTTTTAATATATATGTTTATTTTATTATGCATGTATGTTTACATGGCATCGAATCATTGCCTATATATGTAAGCCACCTTGAGTCCCCTGCAGGGTTGAAAAAGGCGAGGTATAAATAGAGTAAATAAATAAATAAACAAATAAGCAGATCATCTGGATTGTATATGGCAATGTAGAAGCGACCTTGGACTGTGCTGGGGTTTCTTCCCAATCCCCCTCCCTGTGGGTGCCATGCCAACATTCATGGGTGCTCAAGTCCCATTATGTACACTGGTGAGGTGGTGTCCTTTATATAAAAGGGTAAAATGTAAAAGAGGCTTGCCTTTTGAAGTTTGGAAAAAGTACCTGTAAGATGTGGAGAGTTTAATCAGTGGATACAGAGGGCCGGCTGTATAATTTCACCTGCCCTGTCTCACAATACTTGTGGTTCATGCTTGCCGCTTGGCTGAGGGACACAAGGATTGCCACACCAGATGGAAATTAATATGTCATTCAGTTGCACAGTCAAAAGGCAACAGTAACTTCAGAGTGTTTCATGGCAGAAAAATAAACAATTTCCCCAGGGAATCTGAATAACCCAGGGCCCTTCCATACAGCAATACAATCCAGAATACAAGGCAGAAAATCCCAAAACGTCTGCTTTGAACTAGGTTATCTGAGTCCAAACTGCCATATATTCCAGTTCAAAGCAGAAAACATGGGATTTTATTCAGTTGTGTGGAAAGGGCCCCAGACTCTCTCCCAGCCTTTTCCAGGGTTCCCCTGGGGGTGAGGAAGGGACTTTGTCAGGATGTGACCCCCTAGGTCCTCCAGGTTTTGAACTTCAGTACCTATCCTTTATTTTACATAATGCAGGATAGTGCTTTTGAGAAGTGTAGGGCTAGAAATGGCAGTCTGCCATGGCCCACTCCCATTCTGCCACTGGGGCCCAGTGCATGTTCATTCTATGGTCGGGAGTCCCTCTCTTTCGCACCATTGCCACCTTCCTTAACCATCTCCCTTGCACAGCTTTCCTCTAAGGATGGTGCCAAGGAGCTTGGGGAGCCACCAGCCACACTGCCCACGGTATTGTATTCCTTATTGATATTCTTATTTATTTATTTATATCACATCCTTCCCAGGGTTTCTTCTCTTTTGTTCAGTGACAGTGTGTTAATTATTGTGGTTCAGTCACACAGAGCACAGGGTTGATGAAAAATGTTGATCTCAAAACACAATACTTGATTTTTGGTGCCTTTAGCTCAACTGTTTCTCGAGCTGTCTGCTTGCTCCAGGTGTAAAAATTTGCAGTATTTCATTTGTAAAAGACATCATAAGGCAGGCTCTTTAGTGAGAAATTTTAACGTTCAGAGCTTTTCATTACTTTTTTTTGTTTTTTTTGTTAAAACTGTTTATTTTGATTATGGTACATAACAGAAAAGCAAACCATGGCAAATCAGATATAATCAGGTACCAATATTTTTGACGTGTACATGCCTATCTACCTTATTCAATCAATCAGTTAATTTTGACGTTATGTACAAATTATTATCATTTACATATCTTAATACACATAAACTTGCTATTTCTGGCTGTTTTCCACTGCTTTCAGTCAGAGCTTAATATTATTATTTTTTCATAACATACAGGAAATCAGCACATGGCATTTTACACACATACCCCAGACCTTACACTCAACCCA